TTAATATAATGACATAATTTTGTTCTTCCCTTTCCTCCCTCAAAACCTTCCCATATACTCTTTGCTCTTTTTTCAAATTCGTGGTCTCTTTTTCCATTAGTTGTTGCTACATATATACATACTCCTAAATACATAAATTCAATATGCCTAATCTGTATGTATGTTTTCAGGGCTGCCATTTGGTAGTACATAACTAATTGGTGTGCTTTTCCCTGGGGAAGACTATTTCTCCCACTCTCAGTGTTCTTAGTTGCCTGTAGTTCTTTGTGTAGGGCTGAGGGTTCATGAGATGTCCTACTTCTACACTGACATGTCTATTGATGTCATTCTTGTTCAGGTCATGTTTAGACAGGCAGGTTGTGCTATATGATGTCTTTCTGTATGCTGTGAATATGTGTGGCTCCTATTGGATAATAAATAAAGCTGTTTTGGCCTATGGCAAGAAAGATTACAGCCAGGTGGGAAATCCAAGCAGAGATACAGAGAGAAGGATGGATCTAAGAGAGATGCCATCCCACCGTCCAAGGAGCAACATGTAATGGGATACAGGTAAAGCCATGGAACATGTGGTGATACAGAGATTAATAGAAATGGGTTGAGTTAAGTTATAAGAGTTAACTAGCAAGAAGATTGAGCCATAGGCTATACAGTATGTAGTTAATATTAAGCCTCTGAATGATTATTTTATAAGCGGCTGTGGGACTGTGGGTGGGAGAGAGTCATCCAGACCACAGGACAGGGCAGGACTGGAGAAACTTCTGGCTACAAGGTGCACTACTAACATTTCTAGGAGATACAATATCACTGCAAATTTCCTGTTCCTCTGGCTCTTAGAATCTTTCTGCCTCCTTTTCTACAATGATTCCTGAGCTTAAGTGTGGGCATTGTAGATGTATCTATTGGGACTGGGTCCACAATTCAGATTTTTTTTTTGAGACAGGGTTTCTCTGTGCAACCCTGGATGTCCTGGAACTCACTCTGTAGACCAGGCTGGTCTTGAACTCACAGAGATCTGCCTGCCTCTGCCTCCTGAGTGCTGGGATTAAAGGTGTGCACCACCACTGCCCAGCCACAACTCAGAATTTTGGTTGTCTGTAGTTTTTCTGTAATGGTCTCCATCTGTTGCATAGGGAGGTTTTCTTGATGTGGAGTGAGAGCTGCAGTTATCTGTGAGTATAGGGAAAAATAGTTAGACTGTAGTTAGGAATTTTTCTGGTTTAGTGAAGTTGTGATTGTAGGTCCTCCTTTACTAGCCCTAGGTAGTTTGCTAGGTATCTAGTACCAGACATTATTTCAGTCTTGTTCAAAGGGGTCTTAAGTCCAACTGAAGAGCTATTGGTTACTTCCGAGGTATGGCATGCCACAATCGCACCTTAGGGTTATTGTGTCAGTCTCATCATTATGGTTCATAGTTGTCACAGCTGGGTAGGACTGGGTTGCTTCCCACCTTTGGAAGCTTGCATGGAACATTCTGGTACCGTGACAGTTAGTCCTCAGAAAAGAGGCATTTAAGTCACTTCTAGCTCAAGGTCCTCTGGGCCCTCTGTTTGAAGTGCATAGTGTCTCCAACATTAGGGACTTAACTTCAACATCTTGGGGGGGACAACCAAGGACAACATCAATAGCCTGGAATGTTTTGATAGGTTTTTTTTTTTTTTTTGACAATCCTGACAATTAAAAAGAGGGCTTCTTGTGCTTGGTGTTTGGGTTTTTGTTAGATGGTTTTTGGTTCTTGGAGGTAGAAATTTTCTTTAGTTTCTAATGACTAATTAATATAAATTAGATAATAATAATATAATAATAATAACACAATTCCACATATAAGAACTGACAAAGGAGATGATTAAGAATCTGTGATTCTTGTGTTCCTCAGCCAGAACAAATGTGGCAGACTATGGAAGGGAAAGAATTTGTTCAGGGAGAGGTGCTGCTTTGAGTTGTTGCTGGATGGAGTCATGGGTCATATACCTGGTTTCTTGGGAAGATGGTTATTGGTCTTTCAGCTTCTTTCACTTCGGGCTTAGTGAGAGGGTTCCCATGGAAACACAAAACTGCAGCATGTTCCTTGCTATTTGAAGTCTCACAGAACTCGAGAAGGCCAGGGCCGTTGTGGAAGCAGAGAAGTGTTGTCTGAATTAAGATCATCCGTGGACTCCTAGAATTTTCAGGACTAAAGGACACATGAGAGTTTCTTTTGGAAGAAATATGGTCCATACAACAGAAAGAACTGATATATCATAATTTTGGATTCTAAAATATACAGTGTCATTCTAAGAGGCAGGGTTTTTTTTAAGTGCAAGAAACTGGGTCCAAATTGGATTCTAGCAGACATAAACACAGTTACAAAATGATAGATGAGGATAAGTGATACCTTTCACTCAGGTGGAGTTGAGAGAGGAATAGGAACACAGCACTCAGAGGAGAAGCCTGAAGATGCAAAGGATGGATCCCAACACAGGCTGATTATTAGGAGGGACCCATTCTCAGACAATACAGACTTATTAGAATATAAACTCCAAAAAAGGAGTACCATGATTATTTCACCAGTATAACATTTTTAAGCAGTTGGCATCATGCCTGGAATGGAATAGTAGCTCAATAAATATCGAACAAAAGTGGATGCTACTATTTGAGTGTACTGGATTCATTTCTGAAATTTGTTTTATGTTACTTGCAGAGGGGATGCTAAGCAAAAACAGCCTACTATGGAGATGCACTATTAAGGCAAACAATGTGGTTTTTTTTTTCTCTTGGTAGAAATACCAATTGCTCAAGAATAGAGTCAAATTTGGTACATGTTTATGGGACGACTTCTTTCTGTGTATCTATGTGTGTATAGAGTATGCGACTGTGTACACTTGTGTGTGTGGGTGGGTGCATGCATCTGTGTGTGCATGTGAAGAGGAAAATAAAGATGTCAAGTGTCTGTCTTTCTCTCCCATTTCCCTTTGAGACAGGATTTCTAACTGAACCTGGAACTCAACATTTTTTCAGATGAACTCTCTGACCAGTGAGTTCCAGTGATCTTTTGTCTCCACCTCCCAGGCCCAGCACTGAGGTTGCAGGTACATGTGGCAACATCTGGCTTTTGATGTGGTGCTGTGGATATGAACTCAGATCCTCATGCTTGCTCAGGCAGTACTATTATCTGTGGAACCACCCCTGAAGCCCTAGAAAGGTTTCTCAACATTAAGAAACCACAAAGCAAACCTGAACTTATAATATGGATGTTGAATTCAGCCATCAGAGAAGCTTCCTCTTGCGGTAGATAGGAACTAATACAGACACCTGCACCTGGACAATAGAAGAGCCAGGGGCCTGGAGGGCACCAAGGAAACAAGGCCTTCTAGACACAATCAGGACTGCAACACATAGAAATGCACAGAAAGTGTGGTAGCATGTATATCACCTGTACAGACTCAAGCTAGATGTGGTCCAAGAACTGAGAGGAGGAAGTGGACATGAGTTTCCACCCCTAACTAAGAAGCTATCTCCAACTGACAACGTCTTACAAAGGAAAAATCAGTTTTCTCCAGTGGAGTCACTGGGTGTAAAAACCACACTTATGAGGCCTGGCAGTAGAGGCTAACATAAAATGAACTCAATGGTGTTTCCGTAGGGTTTTTTTTTTCACCTCATATTGCTTTGGTTGAAGATTTTTATCTTATTTATCTTTACTTGTACAGTATGATTTCCAATTTTGCATTTTTATAGTTTTGTGAGTGTGTTATTGTTTTTTCTTTTTACCTGTTTGTTTTTGAGAGAGAGAGAGAGAGAGAGAGAGAGAGAGAGAGAGAGAGAGAGAGAGAGAGAGAGCGAGCAGGTGTGGAGTTGGATGGGTGGGGCGGTTGGGAGTATTTGGGAAGAGCTGTGGGAGGGGAGATTGTGATCAGACTATATTGTGTGACAATTTTTTTTTAAAAAATGGAAGTTGAAAATTAATGATTTCCATATCACTAAAATCTCCATCTGAAATGACTTGATAATCTGAATAGCAAATTTTCCTTCGCTCTACCTGCTCCTTCTCATGTGAGCTCACTGCCCCATTATGAATCCCCGGATTCTTTCCTACCTGTTCTGGCCTAGTGCCTGCTTTGTTGTCCATTCTGAGAAGTTGACCCCAGAAGTGATCGCTTTGGTTATTGTTCTAGATGCTGTCTTTGTGACTTTCCTGGACTTCATGCTCCATTATCTTTGAGCTAGACCTTTTCGTTCACATGCAGCCCAAACTCCATCTTCACTGGGAAGGTCATCCATGTCTTCAGAGAATGTGCTAGGTGTTGTGTTTCATGCCTTTTTTAATAACTATATCAATAACTGCCACTATTAATATCTGGCACCTATTTCAGAGTGTTATAGCTAGTGTGACTCTTGCTATGCTGGATTGTAACTAAAGTGTACACTGAGAAATGTGGGGACCAGGTTACAGAGGGAAAAGTCACTTGTTGAAGTTTAGATTATATCCTGTGAGAAGCAGGGATCCTGGAAGGAATTTAAAGACATTTCTGTTAGCAATATTTATTACATGTTTAGCAAACATATAGTATGTCCTTGATGACATCTGGGTGGCATTTCAAAAGCCAGGTGTTATATATCACCACTGGGGCTTTTGAGATGTCAGGCATGTTTGCCTTTGTAAGGAATGATCTCAGTTTCATTCCTAGTCTGGCTTTCCTGTCTCATTATTTGCTGTCAAGTTCTCAACTGTCACTTACCTATCTCACTATAGTTTGTATTCCTTGAGCAACATCAGACTGTCTTTTGTCGACCTGTACTTAGAAAAACAAATGGAAGGACTTCTACTGCAATTTTACACATATTTGGAGTTATTATGAAATTGATTACCAGTAGCTTGTAAGTGTTGCCATTTCCTCCTTGTTACGTCTCCATCCCCTCTACTTCACAATTCAGTTTTTCTAGATATCGAAACATCAGTTCTCAAAAGGAGTAGCTCTAAAAGAAAGCATCTGCGATTATGTCAAGCAGCAAACAAACGCAGGTGGAATTGGGCAATATTTTTATTAGGTAGACAAGCAGACAGGGCATTCACGAAGAGGAAAGGCTACAGATACAGGATTAAGTGTCGAGTTGTGCTGACTTGACCTCTTGAGATATCCGTCATTTCATTTTCATGAGGTTTACCTGTAAGATCTTAATTCCACACACAGGGCCTGATGACTACATAGTCATTTATTTCATAGTTCAGAGCCCGCCAATCCAGAATATTAGGATTAAGAGGGGAACCTTGGTACACAAGTATAATTTCTTCTGGGCTTAGCACAGAGTCCCACATGTTCAAATCTGTAATCTCTCCCACAAAGGACTGGGCCTTATCAAACCCTCCTCCATAGGTATCCTGCTCCTGTCCTAAGACAATGCTGGGTTTGGCTTCCACGATGTACCCCTTCTGCAGACCCTTTTTCACCCAAGGTTTCCCATTGACCCAAAATTCGGCAATGCCAGAAGAGGACTCCCAACTGGCACAGAAATGCACTGGAGAAGCCGATTCTTCCAAACCACGGACTGTGACTCCAGAACGCCCAACGTACAGTTTGTATTCTCCAACTCTTTCCTTATAAATTAGTAGCTCATTGTCCCTGCCCTTGGTATTGTAGGAAAAAAGACTGTGATGGCGGGAAAGGTCACTATAGGTTCGAAAACACACCGTGAAATTCTCTAGAGGTTTGTCCAGACGTGGGATTAACTTCACATGAGCGCTTTCAGACTCTCTGGGGAACACAAATACCTTTCCTGTGAGGTCTGTGAGATAAAAATAAGACATATAATAGGTTTCAACAAATTCAGAGAAACAGCAGCTCAGAATCAACTTTTCTCCCAGACTAAATAGCTCAGAATCAACTTCTCCCTGACTGTAGCCTAAACTTCTTACCTGTCTGAGCAAAAGCTTCTGAAAGAAGGCTGGTGAGGACAGATACCCCAAGCAGCAGCAGCAGCAGCTTGTCCATGTTCTCAGTCCAGGACTCTGACAGCAACAGCAGTTACTTGAGTAGGAGACAGAAAGGTGCTGCCCACTACACTCTTAAGACTCCAAGCATTCAGGTTTTGTATGTGCCTTTGATGATGTTGAGGGGTGGAGAGCAGTAACACCATGTGAGGAACTTCCCAGGTTCCTCCTTCTTTCTGCCAATAATCAGAGCTGCTGTTGGAAAAGGAATGTTGATTCCCTTGGGCTGGGAAATCAATGGAAGTTATTTATTAGACACAACTCAGTTCTAAAGCACTAACCCCTGTGACCCAGATTTTATTTCTGGGAAGAGGGGAGCTGCAGAATACAAAGTCCTACAGATGGAACAAGAGGCTATGTTGGCCACCTGAGGAAGGCCTTGTTCAATTTTGCAGCCAGGTCTCCATCTCATGACTCTGTGCTTTGCCAGAAGGGGATATGGGAAGAGGGCAATTGCAGACTTATTAACTATGGAAAGTTAATTCCGTGTAGAACATTCTAGGGTTCTATTTTCTGTCCAACTCTAAGAAGTCAATTTGTATTTGATTCATTAAATATTGAGGAATGTATCCAGGCATTACTAAGAGGATAGAGATAGTTGCGAAGCACAAACTGTTTGCCCTGCAGCTTAATAGTTTTCTACTATAGTTGCTCAGCCTTTCCTTATTTTATGACTCACAATGCTTTTTTATCCTAAGCCTTCTCATTCCTCATCATGACTAATTGTTTTTGGTGACATACACCTGCTGAAATGTCAGCATCTTCCTGTTTTTTTTTTTTTACTCTTGTCTTTGGACACCTGGACACCAAAGGTCTATCGTTGCTGACAATCTCATCAATACATCATACTCACATTTGTGCACTTATTTCCAGGCACGGCATTAGGTGTGGGGATTAAGGAGGGGAGACAATTCTTTTATGGTACCAACAACCTTCATCCCTATTTTCTCTGCCACTATTTTAAAAGCCAACTGTTATTACTCACCACTCTAGCCTACTTGGCTTCTAAGATAGCAAACTTAATTTTCCCCTTTCTGCTTGCTTGATTTTCTTTCTCACCTCTAAAGTCTATAGAACCTTTATTCTCATTCTTTTTGTCTATCATTTTATTATTTACCCTCTTTCCTCTCAGTTCACCTTAGGTTAGTTAGCCTTTTCCATGACACAATAACTACCATAGATAATTCACTTTCTCCAGTTCTACTCTCATTATTCTTCAAATCCTCATCTCTGGGCAATAGCTATTATCCGATATTTATTTTTCTAACCTAAGTTGAATATCAGGTTGTGGAGTCTTATCTATCTTGTGCAGTATGGGTGAAACTAGAGTTAGTTGGAGTTATACATCCCTTTATCTCCTGGATTAAATCCTATCCTTCCACTTGGGAGCCAATGCTATCTCCAGTATTGCTCTAACCTGCCTATGATCTTCTAATCAAATCATGTTCTCCAAACACCTCTAATTGTTGCTCTTCACTTGTGACTAGTTTTCCTGATTTTGTAACTTCTGTTCATTGCCTTGAAATTCTCTTTTATCTTTTCTTCAAATCCTAAATGTTCTTCAAAATTAATCTCAAAAATGATTTCCTTCATAAGACTTTTCAAACCACCCAACTACACATTACTTTTACTTTTTTTGAACTTTTCTCAAAAGTATTTTAGTTATTTTTCTATTACTGTGATAGAACACCATGGTCAAGGCAACTTATAGAAGGATTTATTTAGGGCTTACTGTTACAGAGGGTTAGAGTCCATGGTGGGGGCATGGCAGCAGGTAGGCAGGCATGACTGGCTGTAGCTGATACTTTTCATGTGTCCTGCCTGGCCTGTGGTTAGGACAAATCTCTCTCACCTGCCAATCCCGCAGCCTCTCAGACCCAAATAAACACACACAGGATAATATTATTATTAAGCTATGGCCATGGCATGGTTCTTGTTATCTAGTTCTTATATCTTAAATTAACCCATTTCTATTCATCTATAAGTTGGCAAGTGGCCATGGCTTACCAGTACTTCCACATCTTGCTTCTCATAGTGACAGCTGGCAGCGTCTCTCCTGACTCAGCCTTCCTGTTCCCAGAATTCTCCTCTCTCTTTGTCCCACCTATACTTCCTGCCTGGCTCCTGGCCAATCAGCATTTTATTTATCAACCACATCAGAGCAACACACATTTACAGCATACAGAAAGGCATCCCCAGCAGCCGGCCCTGGAGCAGTATTTGACAGCCCGAATATTGAGGCACAACCATGAGACAGACAGATAATGGGAGGTTTGGAACAGCATGAGTCTTTTGAGACCTCAAAACCCACCCCTAGGGACAAACCTCCTCTAGCAAGGCCTCGCCTCCTAATCTTTCTCAAACAGTTCTACCAACTGGGGACCAAGTACTCAGATGCACAGACCTGTTGTGCATTCCCATTCAAGCCACCACAATAAGGTTAAGATGAAAGACTATCTGTGCACATATGTGGATGCCAGAGCTCATTATTGTATGGCTTTCTCTATGGCTTCTACCTCATTTTTTTGAGACAGAGTCTCTCAGTGGATCTAGAACTTGTGACCTTGGCTCAATTGGCTGAGCAGAAAACCCTTTCCATATGCTACACCCAACACCGGTCATCATAGAAGTATGATGCCATGCCTAGCTTTTATGTGGGTGCTGGAATATGAACTCAGGTTCTTACAATTGAGCAATGGTCACTTTATCCACCAAACCATCTCCACAGTTCCAGGTTAAGATATTTTTGACATAGAGTTTAATAGTAACTCAGGTTATAATATAATTGAAGAAAATGTCTAGGTAATACTATAAATAGGAGCTAAGGGTAACCTTTACTATGAACCTAGGGAATACATAATTTCAGGTTGAGAAGTTAATCAAATACATTAATAGTTAAAGAATAGGTTAAGCAGCTGCTTATAGTCTTCATCATAAATAAATTAATTACCGCTCTGTTAGCAAAAAGGGTTCTGATACCAGTGCAGAATGGAATATTTTTTAATTGGTGATGAATTCATGGAGATAGCCTGGGAAATATATGAGCCAGTCAAAAGAATTTCGTGGAATAGAGATTTATACTGCTGCTGGGGACTAATGACAATAGGTACTGTTGAATATGGAAATACTGTAAAGAGGACATCTTGGTTGAAAAGCAGGGCTGGTTGCTATCAAAATGAGAAGAAAGTAGAAGAAGTGAATACTGTTTTTTTTTAATTTTTATTTTTTTTAATGCCCTCACTATGGAGTGTTTATCAGGCTTTATAAGAAAATAGCTATGTTCTCATCCCCCAGTCCTCGCCCTCTGTCACCCCCTGACACCCAGTCCACTCATGTAGATATCATCCACTTCTTCTTCACGGGGTCATCCATGTGTCCCTCCTAGGGTCTTTCCCTGTTATCTAGCCTCTCCGGAGCTGTGGTTTGCAGTCTGGCCATCCCTTCCCTCCCATCTACTATCTACTTATGAGTGAGTACATAACTATGTTTGTCCTTCTGAGTCTGGGTTACCTCACTCAAGATGATATTTTCTAGTTCCATCCATTTGCCTGCAAATTTCATGATATCATTGTTTTTTTTTTTTTTTTTTTTTACTACTGGGTAGTACTCCATTGTGTATATGTGCCACATTTTCTTTATCCGTTCTTTAGGTGAGGGGAATCTAGGTTGTTTCCAGGTTCTTGCTATTACAAATAATGCTGATATGAACATAGTTAAGCATGTGTCCTTGTGGTAAGATTGAACATTCCTTGGGTATATGCCCAAGAGTGGTATAACTGGGTCTTGAGGAAGACTTATTCCCAATTTTCTGAGAAACCGCCATACTGATTTCCAGAGTGGCTGTACAAGTTCACATTCCCACCAATAGTGGAGGAGTGTTCCCTTTGCTCCACATCCTCTCCAACATAAGCTGTCTTCAGTGTTTTTGATCTTAGCCATTCTGACAGGTGTAAGATGGTATCTCAGAGTTGTTTTGATTTGCATTTCCCTGATGGCTAAGGATGTTGAGCAATTCCTTAAATGCCTTTCAGCCATTTGAGATTCTTCTGTTGAGAATTCTCTGTTTAGCTCTGTAGCCCATTTTTTAAATTGGATTGTTCAGTATTTTGAAGTCTAGCTTTTTGAGTTCTTTATACATTTTAGAGATCAGCCCTCTGTCAGATGTGGGGTTGGTGAAGATCTTTTTCCATTTTGTAGGTTCTCATTTTATCTTATTGACTGTGAGAACATAGGGAAATGGGAGGGTCAAGCTGGAACAGGGACAGAGTGGGAGGACAGGAAGGAAGATACCAGGATAGATGAGGACATCACGGGAATAGGAAGAAGCAGGGTACTGGGGAGGCTCTCAGGAATCCACAAGGTTGACCTCACCTTGGTCTGCTGGCAGTGGTCCAGAGGGTGTCTGGACTGGTCTACTCTAGTGACCAGCCTAGCAAATGACCTAGCTGTCATCATAGAGCCTTTGTTCAGTGACTGATGGAGGCAGATGCAGAGATCCATGGCCAGGCACCAAGCTGAGCTCCGGGAATCCAATTGATGAGAGAGAGGAGAGATTCTGCAGGTGAGGGATGTCGAGATCATAATGGGAGGACGTGCAGAGATGACTAGCCACACTAGTGGAAGCCCATGAACTGTGAACTGGTGGCTGTGGAGCCTCCATGGGACTGGATTAGGCCCTCTGGACATGGAAGGTGGTTGTTTGGCTCGAACTGTTTGGGAGGCACCAAGGCAGGGGGATCGGGACCTGATCTGTGGGCAGGCTTCTGGGAATCCAGTGCCTATGGTGTGACACCTTGCACAGCCTTGGTACAGTGGGAAGGGGCTTGGACCTGCCTAGGCTCATTGTGCTGGGCTCTGCTGACTCCCCATGGGAGACCTCGATTTGTGAGATGTGGGGATGCAGGGTGGCTTGGGAAAGAGGGCTGGGTGGTGGAAGAGGGAGGAGGGGGGGATCTGTGGATGTTATGTGGAGTGAGTAGAAAGTTACTTAAAGAAAAATGAACCCCCCTAAACGCCCCCAAAAGAAAAACAAAACAAACAAAAAGAAATAGCTCATGCTTTAGCAACCATCAAGATGGGAACCAAGAATTATTTTTAACAGAGAAATGGAGACTCTTGATGTCAAGGTGTAAGAAAATGAATCCTAAGTCTTCAGAACTGAGTAGAGTTCTCA